TTACAAATACTATCACATTTTCTGTATCATCTGGTGAAATCAGAATGGAAAAACTCGCATTCCTTATCATCTAAATTACGTTCTGGATTTTTTACGATAAAGGATTTTTCGTATTTAGTAATAAGATATGTTAATATTTCGATGTTAATAGGACATCTATAGGTTATACTTTCAATATTTAAAGCGACGAACTGTCACAAATCATAAAACAAACTGTCACTTTTATTGGATGGGAATTTCAAAAAGCTGTATAAATAAAACAAAAATTAAAATCAGACGACGAATTCCTTCATGAATTTTTTTTTGTATGATATTCGATGTCCGTGTACAACACTTTTCTTGATGTGAAAAAATCATTTATTAAAAAAAAAAACAATATTCTTTGTTTTTTAATTCACATTCAATTAATTTTAAACAAAAATATATTTTGGACAAAATCTTGACATTCCAATAAAAATGTATCAATATAAAAGATCGATTGAGTTTCATTGCGATTATTGGAATTTCGTCTAACAACATTGACTACTCTCAGGAGATTTTTACAAGGGAGAAACTTCAAACAAGACTTCAAATGAGAAATATTCATAGAATAACAGCACAATTACCGATGGAATTATTGTCGCTTATTACACTTTCAGTAGTTCGAGGACGCTCCTATTCCATATGAATCGTATTTGTACGGAATTTTTGCGGGGCAGCAATCTATTCACTCGACATTTCTGATGGTCGAGTTTGAACGGTATTTAAGAGTTCAACGATTTTGTCATTTCCTAAGAGAAAATAAATCCATGTAAACTGTTCATGATAAAAATAAACACAGTTGTTTTAAATACTTGTTTTAATAGCAATATCCATTGAGGTTTCATTGTCTTTAGTTTTTAAGTTGGTATCAGCGCCATTCTTCAATAAAATATTCACAATCTTTTTAAAACCTGTAAAGCAATTAAATATTCCAAATAAGAAATTCAAATTTGTTTCATTTTCAAGTAATGATTCAATTTGTCTATGACCTAACGAAATGAATTCAAATTTTGTGAAATATTTTGACATTTCGAATTTATTTTTACCTTTACGAACAGCATCATGTAGTGGACTAAATCCTTCTGCATTTCGGGTATTAACATCGGCACCATTTTTTAGCAATATTTCAACAGTATCCACATAGTCTTTATTTGATAAAGTTTTCAATTAGACATATATTTTCTTTCAAATTTAATTATTGCATTGAATTTTAAATCACCTTTTAGAGTTGCGAGATGTACTGGTGTATATCCTTTCATATTGGTGATATTCACATTGGCACTATTCTTTATCAATAACTCCACTACTCTATTTCGACCTGATGGAAAAGATATTCAAACAATTCTGTTATTCTTTCTGATTTGAAAATGTGACAAGCAATCAGTAAAATGAGTTTTGTGAAACAAATAATAATTTTATGCCAAGAAAGCAGCAGAAAAAGTTCGTTAGTTTCAATTTATAAGAAAAATAGTTCCGATTACACTACCGAAATGTGAAGCCAAAAGTAAGGCAGATGCTCCCGTGTTACTTTGACTGTTTACATCGGCTCCATATTTAACCAACAATTCAACAATTCGCCCGTGACCTATTGAAATGAACATATTTAAATGTTGGCATTCGTTTAAAAACTGATTTACTTCAAATTCACCTTCACTAACTGCAGATTGTATTGGAGAAAGTCCCTCTGAATCTCGAGTATTGACATCGGCACCATTTTTAAGCAGTATTTCAACAGTATCCACGTGGCCTTTATTTGATAAAGTCTCAATAAGAAAAATGTCCTTCACACTTAAAAAATGGATTTTAAATTACCCCTAAGAATTGCGACATGTAATGGTGTACATTCATCCTTATCACGAACATTCATATTGGCGCCATTCTTCAATAATAACTCAACCATACTTTTTCGACCTGATGGAAATGATATTCAAACAATTCTGTTATTCTTTCTGATTTGAAAATGTGACAAGCAATCAGTAAAGTGAGTTTTGTGAAAAAAAAAAAATCTTGATTACAATACCACTAAATGAGGCCAAAAGTATAGCATTTGTTCCTTCGTTGTTTTGAATGTTTACATCTGCTCCATGTTTAAGCAACAATTCAACCATTTCCTCGCGACCTACAAAAATTATTTGAAGAAAAAATTAAGAAATATTTTCGAATATTTGGTTTTCAACTCAATTGTGTTGAATTTAAGATCACCTTTTAGAGCGGGTCTATGTATTGGCGCCCATGTGGAATCTCCTGTTATATTTACATCGGCACCATTTGCGATCAGCACCTCAGTAACACGCATATGATCTAGATTCAATTATATTTTTATGTTCATTTATGAGTTTAGATCATACATATGTCAAATATTATTCTGAACATTTTCATCACCATAGTAAGATGCCAAATAAATTGCGCTCTCTCCTTCTTTATTTTTTGAATTAATATCGGCACCGTTCTTTATCAATAACTCAATTATATAAGGTTTTTCTAAAGAAAAATTCAAATATTTTCGGTTATTCATTAGAATATTTCTACGGTGTGACAAAAATGAAAATAATTTCTACTGGGAAGTATTTTGTTACAAAATAATAAAACAAAATTGATAAAATTACCATGCTCAGCGGCGATATGTATTGGTGCGTATCCATGCGAACTTATATTCACGTCGGCACCCTTTGCAAGCAGTACTTCAACAACACGCACTTGACCTAAAAACCAATTCAAATTTCAATGAAAACATCATTTTTATTATGACACTGTTTACAATTAGAAAATTACCATATGTAGATGCAATAATTAAAGGAGTAAATCCAGCATCGTCTTGAAGATTAATGTCTGTCCCACTTCTCAATAATTTTTCGACTTTTCGGACATTACCTGTTTCAAACAATAAACGATTTAAAGGATTTCATCAACAAAAACCACTCAATACTCACCACTATGAACAGCACGATGAATTTTTGGCATTCGATTTCTGCAATATTTTCACACAATATGATAATTTGGTTATTCAAAATGGTTGAATTTTTTCAAAGTCAGTTAAACTTACAAAAGATTTGCTGCATGGTTGAGGATTGTGTAAAAAAATTCAATTTTATCAAAAATGCATTTTTGCAAGGAGATAATAATAGCATTTATTTTATAATTGCTTTTTACCTATCATGTTGATAACAGCTGACTTTTTAACATCTGACATTGTTCGAATTTGAGACGAAAAAATTGATGTCAACAACTAAAAACGAGCGAAAAGTCCGTTTATCAAACTCCAAATTTTCTGTATTTACCGCAGCAATATAACTTGTTGAATTTAACAAATTAAGAATTTATTCAATACCACAAATTTTCAAAAAAAAAATTACTTTCTTCGGTTAACGAAAAAACGGATCGTCTTTGATCATTGATTTCGAATAAGGACTTTACCAACTAGCACACTTTTGCCAATACAAATATTTAGCCGCTAAATTGAACGTATTGAGTAATGTTTTAATTTTGAAAGAAATATATTTTTTCACTAAATTATGTTTAGCTCAGAAGTCGAACAACAACTATGCTGTTATGTCGACCGAACCCTCATTTTTATCTCAAGGGCAATGAAAAATGATGAGCAAGCTCAATCAGAGAGTTGTGAAATTATTAAAAAAAAAAATAAAAAATAAAAAAACCAGTTGACTCATTCTTTATCAAGGAAATTCTTTGATAAAGAAAGCGGATGAATATATTAGATAAGAAACATGCGTCGAGCTGAAAGTAAAGCATCTGCCGAATGGGTGCTTACAGTGAAAAACAAAATGAAATACTGTCATTTAAATATTCAATTATTCTATTTTGTATTGAAAGGGAGAATAGGCATGACATCACTTACAGTATAAATTATCGCATTTTTTAACTGAAACGTGTCATTGTTTTGAAATGATTTAAAATGTTGAACATTCATTCATGTTTAACAAACGTCATTCGTTCCTTATCTCGAAGGAAGTTTCTTTTTTGATAATTGATAGAGTTAAAAAAATATTAAGAATTTAAAATGAGATCTCGACTGACATGTACATCTCAGTGTAACAACATTTAACACATGTTATTAAGGTCAACCATCACGGTTTATCGTTTATTTTACATTTTTCTGCGTCTCAAACGAATCTGATCCCAAACGGATATTTACAAAACCAGTTTTATTCGCAGAAAAATAAGTTTCTCAAAGTTCCACGACTGTCGGAAAAAAATGAAAATCTCGAAAATGATAAATATTCGAATAGATTCGTTATTTGGAAAATTTTAATATAGAAAAAACTATTATATCATTTTTAGAATTTTATTATTATTATTATTTATTTCCAATTTTTCGCCACTGGAGCGAGTTTGTAATGATTTCCATTTATATCTTTAAATAGCCAAGTTTTTTTATGGTTTTCTCAAATTTGCGGATTTATGGGGCATTCAACTTTTTTATTTTATCCAAAGTGAACATCATCGCTGGCAATCGAATTGATTTTAACAGTAATTTTATATTCATCTTCTTCTCCTTCTTCGCCACTACCATTGTTATTGTCATCGTCTTTCCCCTTTCTTTTTGTCATTTTGAAAGAATTAAAATTCAAAACGTTGAATAAAATAAATGGTAAATAAGTTGAAAATGTATTTTTTGCACTACAACAATAATTTAGCGACGAATAAAAAAACTATTCAAAATACTAATAAAAGATAAAATAAACAAAATATATTATAAAATATATCCAATATTGGTGAGGAATATTACTTTTCCGCACACACCTAGTGTGTAAGGTAAAGTATTGGAATCGGTCGAAAAATTAACACCCTCAAAAAACATGTTTTCTGGGTGTTTTAGGAGCCGGGGAACACGAATCTAGCGTTTTTTCGATGTCCGAATGTATGTGCGTGGTACCCTGTACGCTGTACGCTGTACGCTGTACGCAAAAATTTGTTAACACGATAACTTTCAAAGAAGAAAAGTAATTCAAAATCTGACTTCACAGGATGATTGGGGGTGCCGAGGAATAGAAACCATTAGATTTTGAGCGACTTTGGTTGACAGAGTAAAGTGTCATGTCTGGTGTGATGCCCATGGCCATCCATGGGAAAAATTCAATTTTTCTTCCAAAAGTGATATTTAATGTATACTTAAACACTCAAAAATGTGTATTGGGGGGTT